AGAAGGAAGGAAAGCAAAAGAAAGAAAATCAGGAAAAAAGAAAAAAAGAAAGAAAATAGAAATAAATACAGACAAAAGCGAAAGAAAGAAAAAAAGAAAAAGAGCGAATGAAGGAAAGAAAAAGAGCGAATGAAGGAAAGAGAAAGAAAGAGAAATAGTGCAAATGAAAGAAAATAACAAATGACAATGAGAAGCGCGAAATAAGTGGTTGAAAATGAAATAGTTTAAGAGTAATTCAAAGCTAAATCGAACGAAAATGAAAAAACAAAAAAAAAAACAATGAAGTAATAAAGAAATTTCCAAACTTAACGTAAGAAGTTTGTTCAACGCAAGTTTCATTTTAATATTTCATGACGTCAAATATCTTTCGTATATTTTCCTGCACAGAAATATTTCCTCTGCCCGCAGTGCAATGCTACCGGGTCGGTATCCTGTCATGCAACATTTCCCGTGTCATTTTTTTTTTTTTTTTTTTTTTTTCATCAAATATGGCATGACAATCTAAGCGATAATTCGTCACAACTTAAAAAACACTTGGTATTAGAATAGAAAGAGAAATAAATTATGGAAAAAAATTAAGAAATCCAATACAAATAATATATATATGTGTGTGTGTTTGTGTGTGCGCGCGTGTCTGTTCAAATGTAAAAGAACGAAGAATGAAATTTCAACGTGCAAAACATTAATTTAAAACAGAGCTCAATACAAAAGAAGAGCAATAAATATTTATTATGCACTGTTACATTAGAACATGTAAATATCCAATAAAAAATTGTACATTTTCTTTCAAAGTTCATTCAACGACAGACAGATAGATAGATAGATAGATACATACATACATACATACATACATGTGACATCAATAGGAAATGAACGATAGATTTTTTTTTGCTTAGCTGAACTGATTTTGGTATCAAGAAAAAAGTGTGACGTAATTTTAACAAATTCGTTGTATGGTGGTATAAAAACGTTACATATATTATTGTAAAACGTGAATTTATATCTTTTGAAAGAAAGGTGACAAAAAAAGAAATTGAAAAGGTTTTAAACTGTAAAAATCGCAAATCTATATGAGAATAATATTTATCGTAAGTACGATTTCACGAACAGCATGGAAAATGTTTGCATATTTTATGAAGTGCTTACCAAAGGGAATATAAGGAACTGAACGGGACTTGGAACTTGGCTCGCACTTTTCTAATTATTATACCATGGTCACCATCTAGATACTGACGAGGCTCGGCGTTGCTTAACTTCGGTGATCGCACGGGAATCGGTGTGTTTATCATTATCGGTTTCACATACACACACACACACACACACACACACACATATATATATATATGTGTGTGTGTGTGTGTGTGTGTGTGTGTGTGTGTGTGTGTGTGTGTGTGTGTGTGTCCTGTTTGTTGCTGTTAAGGGTGTTCAATTTTTCTGTGGTTATTCCAATTTGCCATTTCACAAAGCTACATTTATAATTCCAAGTGTTGATAGTTTGGTGGGCAAAGATGACAATTACATTACAATATATTAAACAATACACGGACAAAACAATAATGATAGTCTGCTTTTGTTTGTATAGAAGAGTTCCAAGCAACGACGAAGTTATATCTTTTAGTTTATCATAGAGGTCCTGTTTGCCCACCAAACTATCAACACTTGGAATTATAAATGTAGCCTTGTGAAAAGGCAAATTGAAATAGAAAAGAAAAACTGAACAACTTTAACAGCAACAAACAGGACATCTACGATAAACTAAAAGATATAACTTTGTCGTTGCTTGGAAATCTTCTATGAAAACAACATATATATATATATATATATATGTGTGTGTGTGTGTGTGTGTGTGTGTGTGTGTGTGTGTGTGTGTGTATCAATGATCCAATATAATAGCTGGCTTAAATTTTCAGATGGGAACCTTTAAATATATATTTTCGAGTTTATATTCTCTCTTTACGGTAATCAATCTTGACGCATTTAAAACATCATTGACCTGGTCAGAAGTAATTGATCTATTGATTGACGTTGATTTTTTCGGCTTATCAAACATTTGTAGGTTATTTAGAGCCAAAAGAATTTTTAGAATGTAAAACATTTTAGGTGATTTTTACTGATACATGTTCTGTTAACTAATTAACCCAAAGCTGGGGAGAAGACAAGGATTCATACATTCTCCAATAGTATTTACGCTTAGCTGAATATAACGAACCCGACTGGAATTGGAACTCGGCTCTCAGAACTATTTTCCGATACATCAGCCACACATCTAATCTTACAGCACTTCCAGCACGTGCAATTCCGAAGTGGTCACCCATTTAGATACTAATCCGGTTTTATGGTACGTAACTTCTGAAACTAGTGTTTCAACGCGACATGATAGTAAATCTGGCCATATATATATATATATATATATATATATATATATATATATATATATATATATATATATAGATGGCCTAGGCATCCGATTGCTTCAACAGTCAGAGATTCTACCCACAAGCTATCATCGCAGCAGAAGGGAAATTTTAACGTTTTTACTATGCGAAAGACCTCAGTAGCTAGGAGAGTTCGATTCCAGTAGAAGAGAATTGCATTAGCAGCAGCATCCCCTGTTTATAAAATCACCTCGTCCTGTCTGAGATTTCAATCGAATTATTTCGAGAGCGTAAATAGTCATTAACAAACACACAGTTTCGCTATATTTGTGTGGATGTCTGTGTGTGTGTGTGTGTGTGTGTGTGTGTGTGTGTGTGTGTGTGTGTGTTTAGTTGTGTATTTCGGCAGCAATCCCTCTTTAATGCATGTTTTGTTAAAGAAGACAGAAGACTTATAATGTAATTTTGTTCAAGTTTTATTATATTTTTTTATGCGAACAAGTGTTTTTTTTTGTTTTTTTTGTTTTGTTTTTTTTGTTTTTTTTTGGGTTTTTTTTTTTATCCTGGAGGTAATGAGTGCATAAAATATCCAAATGTTTGTTGATTCTAAGCTGTTTCGGATAGTCAATTAGCAATTTGATAGAGTTTTAGTTATACTACGACATTAGATAATACTTAAGCGCGTTTGTAAACAGCATGAAAGTTGCTGAAAAGTAAACATATTCTTAATTACCAAATATGGACAGTACAGTGTGGTCGTGTTCACAGTTGATGCTATTAAGAGCTGGTATTTTGATATATATATATATATATATATATATATATATATATATATATATATTAGTTCATCGCAAAAGTTCATGTCCGAATACAAAATTAAAAAACAATGAAAATCGAGCACGGACTTTTTACGAAGATCCAATATAATAGCCGATTTCTCAATTTCTGAGCAAATCCTTCCGATATGGTAACTCTTTTTTGCAGACACCTGCTCAAGTGGACATGCTTTTCAGATATCACTTGTGGTTTTATAATGCAACGAAGCAGAGTGGAACTAAGTTGCATTCTAGGAGAGAGCGCATGATCTTGCATGATTAGGCAGTACGCTCAAACCCTCAGTCATGATGACTTGCGGCCTCGTGCTAGCACAGCCATCGACGGCTTTCGAATAGTTCGGTCTGCCCAATTTCACTCGGAAGGTTTGGGTCAACGCGGGGTATTTGTTTTTTAGGCACTTTCCGACAGTGACATGATAAACCAAAAACCGATGACATCAAGATGGCACCTTCTTGACAAATTCCCCATTAGATTCGGAATGGGGTCTCATGATCTAAAATATATATATATATATATATATATATATATATATATATATATATATATATATAATATCCGAATGTAATGAGAACGAAAATAATATAAATTCTAACGTTCACAGCATTAATTCAAAAGAAGGATCAGTACATAGAGTAAAGAAATAATTATTTATTATAATTTTTACAAGCGGACAAAACAACATACTTACTTACTACAAAGATAGTAGTGAATAAGTTGTTTTGGATGCATCTTAATGGTGAGAAAGTTGTTTTGTCCGCATGTAATTAATATATATATATATATATATATATAGATAGATAGATAGATAGATAGATAGATAGATAGATAATATTAGTGGAAAATATACATACATATGCAAAATATATAAATATAAATACCCATATATGTGTTTTTAGAAAAAAAATCCCAAGAGGAAGAATCTAGGTCCAATGGAATAAATTATGACCATGGAATATTAGTGTTTAAGCCTTTTTTTTATATATATATATATATATATATATATATATATATATATATATATATATAAATATATATATATATATATATATATATAATTAATTAATTCAAAAAATGTTTTTTTTTTTTTCATTAAAGAATTACGTTTCAAAAATGGAAGATAAAAGCCTCGAATTTAATCTTTGTAATTAAATTAAAGTTAGTTTCATTTCATCTTCAAGCGAATTTTTGACCCAAAATTCGCTTGAGGATGAAATGGAACTAATTTAATTACAAAAATTAAATTCAGAGCTTTCAGCTTCCATTTTTGAAACATGTTTAAAACTGTGTAGCGAAAAAAAAACATATTTTGAATCACTTAATTTATAATATTAATGCTTTGTAAATTTACATTGAGCACTATTTTGTAAAAATAAAAATATCTATAAGAACACCGGATTATATATACTGTTCTTTCTTTTTATTTATATATATATATATATATATATATATATATATATATATAAACGTGGGCATTGAAGTCAACATCCAGACATAATTGTCTATTTTATGCCTAATGAAATCGTCAGTTAGTAACGTCAGTTAGTAACAAAATATGGCTATCAGAATTCTGTTTTCTGGAGAAATTCTGAGCAGGAAAAATTGTCTTCTCCGTCACAGCTGTAATTAAAAGAAATTAAAAATTAATAATTTGAAAAATAAAAATAAAATGGGTTGTCTCATTTCACGCGCAAGTGAAGTGAAAAGGTGTTGAAGGTGAAATTTAGCGAGAATTAGAGAAGGAAGGGTCGTGAGATTCCTGGCAAATGTTAAAATTTTACCAAAACGAAATCAAGAATTATTTAAACGAACAAAGGAAAGAAAGAAAGAAAGAAAGAAAGAAAGAAAGAAAGAAAGAAAGAAAGGCACACACAAACAAACAAACGAAGAAGGAATCTCTGTTAACTAAATAAAAAAGAAAAAGTTTGAGAAAGAAAGAAAGGGGGAAAACTGTTAAATAATAAAAAAGAAAAGGTTAAGAAAGAAAGAAAGAAAGAGGGAAACTTTGTTAAATAATTAACAAAAAAGGTTAAGAAAGAAAGAAAGAAAGAAAGAAAGAAAGAAAAAGAAAGAACGACAGATGTAAACTTTGTTAAATAATAAACAAGAAAAGGTTGAGAAAGAAAGAAAGAAAGAAAGTAAGAAAGAAAGAAAGAAAGAAAGAGAAACATTGTTAAATAATAAAAAAGAAAACTTTGAGAAAGAAAGAAATTTGGACTTAGGGAAGGAAGGGATTCGTAAGACTCATGGCAAATACTAAACATTTTATAAAAAAAAATGCAGGAAGAATAATTTAAACGCGCTAAAGAGAGGAAGAAAGAGAGAGTCTTTATTAAATAAATAAATAAATAAATAAAGAAAGAAAGAAAGAAAGAAAGAAAGAAAGAAAGAAGTGAGGAAATTCTGTCAAATAAATAAATTAAAAATGTTTGAAAAAGAAAGAAGATTAGGGGTAAAAATTAATTAGAAAAATATACGAGAGAATGAAAAAAATGATCAGTTTAAAATCAAGAAAGAGAAATAAATGAAAAATACGAAGAAATAAAAACTGATTTAACAAAGAAACAAAAATCTTCGAAAAATTGTAAAAGAAACTGAAAATAAGACTACAAAATTGAAGACATGCCATGACTATAACATCAACAATTATCTTTCCTTCTTTTCCCCGAAAAGAAATGGCGACCATGACGCGTCATAAATTTAATCTACATCGGTGAGATGAATATTGGAAATAAAAGTTTGGTGAGTTTCGAACTCACGTCCCAAGACACGAGGCCTTAATAAACCAATAATAAAATTCAAATTCGAGTGAAAATTAACATTAATTGAACGTTTGGTCAACGTTTCACTGAGCGCATATCGACTAAATATAAGAATGTATATAGTTTACTCTATGTTTTAAAGTACAAAATTGAAACAGTATTTCGAGAATAATCACAGACATTTGCACACAAAGATGTAACAGCTTGCAGCAAAAACAATCCCGAACTTAGTAAAAACAAAATTATAAATACAGATTTCAGTGGCCACTGGCTATTTCCCTGTGGCGACCTAAAACAGAAGTGGACATTACTACTACGTCCGTGTGCGGCACATAAAAGAACCGTTAAAAATTATCGATTAGAGGCACACAACCATAACGCACCTCCACGCATAGCTTCTCCCCGTTAAACTTACACTGTCATTGTTTATCGTCTGCGAAATCCCCCTACGTAAGTTCATTGTTTTTTGTTTAATTTTTATGGGTGGGGATGTAGCTGTTTATAACTATTTATAGGCTTGATGTATCTATGGATTATACGTATTAGTTTATAGCTATTTCATCTTGTTTATAGAGTGAGGGCGTCTGATTAAAATAGAATAAACAGTTAGTGTTCTTTCTGTTCTACACTATAATAATTCTTAGTAAACTTCCTTAGATAAATCTTTATTTGTTCATCGACAATCTAATATGAAACGCCATTATTGATGAGTGTTTGATTAATATTAAAATACTTCCGGCAGCAAGGCCTCTGATCGGGATATTGGAGGTTTTGAAGAGCATAGAACTACCTCTTAATTGTTGTTGTTCCAAGGTTTAACCAGACTCAATGTGTTAGCACCTGTTAGGGTCCTAACTATGGGCAAATAGTGAACATCCAAACAAAAACAAAACACTATCAAAGTATAAAAATACATTTTTATAGTAAAGATTCCAGCAATACATTTTTATATAAGAAATGACCAATACCTCTTTATAGTAGAATTACCAACAATACATACTTATAGTAGAATTACCAACAATACATATTTATAGTAGAATTACCAACAATACATTTTATAGCGAAATAACCAACAATACATTTTATAGCGAAATGACCAACAATACATTTTATAGCGAAATGACCAACAATACATATTTATAGTAGAATTACCAACAATACATTTTATAGCGAAATGACCAACAATACATTTTATAGCGAAATGACCAACAATACATTTTATAGCGAAATGACCAACAATACATATTTATAGTAGAATTACCAACAATACATTTTATAGTAGAATTACCAACAATACATTTTATAGCGAAATGACCAACAATACATTTTATAGCGAAATGACCAACAATACATATTTATAGTAGAATTACCAACAATAGATTTTATAGCGAAATGACCAACAATACATTTTATAGCGAAATGACCAACAATACATATTTATAGTAGAATTACCAACAATACATTTTATAGCGAAATGACCAACAATACATTTTATAGCGAAATGACCAACAATACATATTTATAGTAGAATTACCAACAATAGATTTTATAGCGAAATGACCAACTATACATTTTATAGCGAAATGACCAACAATACATATTTATAGTAGAATTACCAACAGTACATTTTATAGTAAAATGACCAGCAATACATTTTATAGCAAAATGACCTACAATACATTTTATAGCAAAATGACCAACAATACATTTTAGCGAAATGACCAGCAATACATTTTATAGCAAAATGACCAACAATACATATTTATAGTAGAATTACCAGCAATACATTTTATAGCAAAATGACCAACAATACATTTTATTACTTACATTATTTACATTATTCGGACTGTCATCCTCATCGTCACTGCCAAATTCCCAACGTTTCGGCCGCTCAAATCTTCGGGTTTCTTCAAGTGATTGCAATTTCGAACCGAACTCTTTATTTCAAGGACACATATCCCAGTGGATAAAGGCGTTGGTTAGATCCAGTGAACAGATCCAAAGAGTTCAATACCAGGTTACAGCAGAGGTGAACCAAAACTTGGAAAGCTGAGTCAAAAGGAAATAACTGAGACATCCGGAGGCATAGCAAGTGGAACTAGAACAATCTACCCAGGTGGACTAAATAAATTGTTCGGTTCGATATTCCAATCACATGAAGAAGGCCGGTGCGTACAACGGCCAAAACGTTGTGAATATGGCAATGAAGATGAGAATAACAGTTCGAATAATGTAAATAATATAAGTAATCATAATACCTCATCTCAAAGATATAGACAAATCCATTTTATCTGTGGTTGAAGGCATATATTTGCGTTCAAAATATTTAGATTTTGTCATTAAATAACTCATAGAGATTTATATGCCGTTAACCAACATGAAAGAACTTTTATAATATTAAACCATATAATATCTTATTCTTAAATCGAATTTTATTCCAAAATATAACTTCAACAAAACTACAAGATAAAACACACATCTCCGCTGTTAGTAATCATGTCCACACAAACATGTATATGCACAAAAGCTGAGAATCCACTACCATGTATTCAATTGTGAAAGCAGAACTATATATATATCATATTTTTAATACTTCCAAAAAAAATAAATTTCTTCATTTGACCCATAGGGAGTTGATGGGACGTTAAAGAGACAAATCAATCAATCATTGATTAATATTACATAATTATTTATAGAAATTTCGATAATGTTATCGGTCCTGATCTGGCATCATGGCTTCAGACACTTTCCCGCTGCCGAAACGTAGCTTCTATAAATATTTTCATGGTAATTGTTCTGACTAGTTTTCCTCGTTGCTTGCTCGACTTCATGAATTTAAGTACAATGCTGGATTGGCAGCTAGGTCTCATAATTTCATTGTTGAAATTACTAGCTGTAATAATAAGTTCTGTGCTAATAGTTTCTTCTCCTGCTCTCCTCGTTTGGTGATCCTTCTAGCTTCCTGCTTTCCTAGGATCTTCAAGAAATTAAATCCAACGTTAATTGTCATCTTCTGTCACCTTTAATCCTGGGCTCGCTCTCTCTCTCTCTCTTCCTTTCCTGGGTAATCTCTAAGCATTCTAGTGGCTTTTATTGCTTTGCTTTGGCTGAAATGATTTTTTTCTAAAGCCTAAATGTGTTCATTATCTTAACCATAATATCTAAGCGATAATCTTAAAAATGATTGATTTCTTCATTTTCTACGGCTTATCAACCCTTTGCAGGTTATTTAAAGTCAGAAAATATTATTAGACTGTATGAATGAGATGTTAATTATTTAGTGATACAAATTTTACTAATTAACCCATAGCTATGGGGTAAGAGGTTGATTTACACCTTCTCAAGAGTATTTGCTCGTAAGAAAATATAACGAACACAACTCCGAGCCATTAGACATTACACCACCCAGACACCCAAATTTACAGCACCTGATATTCCCAAGCAGTCACCCATCTATGTACTGACCACATTCAACGTTGCTTAACTTCGGTGATCGTACGGGAACAGGTATTTAACCGTGATGGGGCCGTAAACCCGATCATCTTCGAGGTGTAGAACAACAGAAGGTAGAATGAATGATAACTCCGTGGACAATGATGATAACAAAGTTGAAATTATTATGGCGTCGACCTTTGACATGAAGAACATTTAAACCGGACAACAGGTGCTTAATATGCCTGTCTTTTCTTTTTATGTGCCGTTTCCTTTCATGACGTAGGCGATCATGGCCCTCCACTTCCTCCTATCCCTTGTGGCTCTCAGTAAGTTTTGTGTTTCTGCCAACTCACCCAGACCAAGCTATCTGTCCAAGCCCGCCACGTATGTCATGCGCTGCTTTTTCCGCTCTCTTTTCCCCTCTATTCGGCCCGTGAGTATCACATTCTCCAGGCCCTCCTTTCTCATCACGTGTCCCAGAAATTTCATCTGCCTCTTCCTTATGTTAGGTATAAGCTTCCTCCTAGTTTGCATCCTCTCCAAGACTTCATCGTTGCTCACATGCTCGGTCCATGCTATCATAAGCATCCTTCTGTGGAACCACATCTCCGTCGCCTCGAGTCTCTTCTTCATCCGTATGGGAGGACGGATGTCACGTAGCAGTTCAGTGCTCTTTTCTTTGTCACCACAGAAACCCTCCTGCTTCGCAGTACTCTGCCCAGCTTCTAGAATGCATCCTTAGCCATCCCAATCCGTCTTCGGATCTCAGCGTCGCACCTACCGTCCTCCTTCAGAACAATTTCCAGAGACTTAAATTACCGCACGTGTTTGATTGTAGTGACCTCGACCTGCAAATCACATTTTGGGCTCATCCTTTTACTGATGACCATACATTCTGCCTTCTTGTAGTTTATGCTTAGTCCTTTCTTCTCGCTCTCCCTCGCTACCTTCTGTAGGAGGTTTTGTAGTTTCTTTTCCGTATCTCCTGTCAGTACCGTGCCATCTGCGTATATTATGTTGATAAGGTTGTAACCGCCAATGATGAATCCTTGTAGGGTCTCCAGTTCTCTCAGAATTGCCTCGCTGTATAGGTTGAATAAGTCCGGTCGGAAGACACATCCTTGCCTTACGCCTCTTTCTATTTTTGTATATTCACTGAGCGTATTCTCGATACGAATGCGTGCCGTTTGCTGCCAGTATAGGTTCTTGATTATTTTGATATCTTTCCCTAATATATCAAGGTTGCTGATCAATGGATAATTTTAAAAACAAAATGATACAGAGACAGTGTTTGGCTTGGTTCTATTTGTTTGTTTTTTTTTACGGTATATCAACCTCATTGGCTCATTTAATGCCGACAAGATTTTATTGCTGGTATTTTCCAAAAATATATTGCTGCTACATATTTTTTCTCCAAAAATGTATTACTGGCAATAGTTCTTTATTTTTTTATTTATTTTTTTTTTCAAAAAGCGTATTGCTGGTAATAATTTGTTTTACTCCAAAAATGTATTGCTGGTAATATTATTTTTTACAAAAATGTGTTGCTGGTTTTTAAACGTATTTTATACCTTAATACGTTCTTTTTTGGGTGGTGGTAACTATTTGCCCATAGATGGGACAGTGATAGGTGCTACCACCCCGGGTCAGGGTGGACCTGGGAATATTAGCAATTAAGAGGTGGTTCCATGCTCATCAAAACCTCCTGATCAGAGGCTTTGCTGCTGGATGTAGTTTATCGTCATACCCAGGACGATGCAGTGTTTGGTTAGTGATTTAAACCATTTGTTACACTTTAATTCATCTGAACTCGAGATATAATTTATTTTCAGCCATAATGTTCCGCATATTGAGGAGATGTTTGATATTATGTTCTTGATTATAATTCATACCTTTAACGTTTCGGCTTTAAAATATGGATGGGAGAGGTTCGTATTATACACGAATAATTAAAGTAAGCATAGTAAACAGAGTTTGGGGAGGGGATTTTTCAAGTCAGGGTAGTTGATTATTTGTGTAATTAACAATACGCCCAACTAAAAGGTAAGGAAAGAAAAAAAGAAAGAAAAAAACAAAGAAAAGAAAACATTGAGAGAAAAAGGGAATGAAAATGAACAAAAGAAATAATGAAAAAAAGAAAAGAACGAAGAACCTGAAGGCGAAAAAGGTGGGAAAAAGAAAAGGAAAATTTATTGATTGTTTTTTACGGCTTATCAACCGTTTGCAGACGATTTAAAGCCAGAAAATATTTTTAGATTGTAAAATGTTTAGAGATAATAATTTTTAATACACGCTGTACTAATTAACCCATATCTGGGGGAAGGGAAGAGGTAAATTCATACCAATCCCAAAGTTAAGTGAATTATAATGAACCCAACTCAAATTGGAACTCGGCTCTCCGATTTCCAATGCTGAGCCATTATCCATTAAACCACCCGCACATCCAAGCTTACAAAATTTGGTATTCCGAAGAGGTCACCCATCTAGGTACAAGGAAAGAAAGAACTAAGAAAGTAAAAGAAGAAAAATATGAACGATAATATAAAAAGAAATAAAAGAGGGGGAAAAGAAAAAGGAAAAGGTAAAGGAAAAAGGAAAAGAAATAATGAAAGAAAAAGAAGCAAGACATAAGAAAAAAGAAGACAAAAAGGAAAAGAGGACGAAGGAAAGCAAGCAGAAATAAATCTGAAAAATAAAAGGAATGCAAAAAGGATGAAAAGATGGAAAGAAAGCGGGAAGGAAGAAATAGAAAAAAAAAAGAAAAAAACAAGAAAATGGCCGAATATAAGAAGGAAGAGAAAATAAAGAAAGAACAAAGATATAAATAAAGGAAGAATAAATAACGTAAAAACAAAGTAAAAGAGAAAAAGAAAAAATAGAATTGAATGAAATACAAAGCGAAAAAAAAGAACGGAAGAAAGATAAGAATATATATAAAAGTAGAAATGGTGAAATTAATGAAACAAGAAGAGGTATAAGGAAAAAAGAAAAATTTAAAAATCAGAAGAAAGAAAGACAGAAAGAAAACCTAAATAGAAAATACAAGAAAAGGAGAAGAAAATTAAGAATATTGAAAAAGTAAAGAATGTGAAAAATAAATAAGAAAAAAAAGCAGGTCACTGAAAATTGTAGAAAAGTGAGTAAGAATTAAGAAACAAGGGCGATGAAAATAAGTCGGTAGAAAAGGGGGGGAGTAAGAAAAGAAAAAAAAAAGAAAGTGAGGAATATAGATACATGAAAGAAGAAAGTAAAGAGTAAAGAATGAAGAATTGAACGAGAACATTTTTTTAAATTAACAAAGAAGCAATGAAAAGAGATAGGAAAAGGAAACGAAAGAAAAAAGTTTGAACTAAGACAAAGTGAAATGGTACAGAAAGTGTTATGAATGAGAGAAAAAGAGAAAAATAAGAAATAAGAAAAAAAAGAATGAATAAAAAGGAAAGATTACGTAAAAAGTACAAGAAAGAAAGTAAAAGGAAACGAAGAAGAAAAGTTTGAAATAAGGACAAATAGAATGGTTAAGAAAAACTGAAGAAAAAGAAAAATAAGAAGTCTGAAAAGAAAGAAGGAATGAAAAAAAGGGGAATAAGTAATCAGAAAAAGTAAGAAGGAATGAAAAAGAGAAGAAAAAAGAGAGTCGAAAATAAGTTGGACGAAAAAGAAAGGAATGTAAAACGAAGGGAAAATAAGTAAGCAAAAAAAGGAAGAAGGAATTTAAAAAAAGAAAAAAGAAGGAGTCAAAAATGAGTTAGCAAAAAAAGAAAGAATTTAAAGAAAAATATGGAGAAAACAATTAAGGAAATCAGGAACGAAAATTAGGCAGACAGATGATTTCACTGGCAATTTTGGTGGCAGTATCAGACTATGTCGACTGGTAATATACAAAATTATATTGATAATATAAATATCAGATAAGATCATTTATATTAATACGCATTCTACTCGCTTATATACATAAGATATGACAAAGTTATACCTTTGGTTCCAGCAAGAAAAGAAATTAATAAACGTTTTTGTTTTTAATACATAATTCGTTTAAAATCGTTTATTTAGAGTCGATAAAAACTATTGTATACGAACGAAAATCAAAAATCATAAAATATTGTCCTCAAAAATAATAACTCACCACACATTCCCGGCGTTGTATAGTGAATTTAATTTCTTTTGGAACCAGTCATCTTACATTGTCAAAAATAAAATTACAATAAAATCAATCGTCTTCAAGTAGATCTTTCATATTTATACTGTGTGAAAATATTCATCTTTGATATTTTTTTTTTATTTTTATTTTTTCAGTTAAGTCCCTCTTCTCGCACGTTCCCGGTGTGAAAACGTGACTTCACGAGAATTCTTCTTCAGTTGAACAGGAAAAGACTATGTCGAATTTCACATGAAATTAAGACAAAAATTATCAAAATGCACTTGAATTCCGCAGTTGTCCACAGCACGAGATCATAATTTATCTATCTGCAGAAAATATTTACTTATTGATAGATCGCTGTAACAACATTGGAATGCAATATGAACTTTTGTATACTTTTGTCAAAACTTTAATGTAGAAATCAGGGTATCTGATAGATTCAACAATATAATATATATATATATATATATATATATATATATATATATAGTTGTATATTTAGGTAGCAATCCTTCCTTTATATTTTCATTAAAAAGGGTACAGACAAGGTTTTCTCCAGTTAAGAAAGCTTTTTTGAACACAAGAAAAATTAAATAAAATTTTAACTGTAATTTTTATATATATATATATATATATATATATTATATATATTCATCAAGAAAAACAAATCAAAGGTTAATGATTTAATTGGACAGTTCCATCGTCGCACACCTTTTTGTCCAATAAATAAAAAACCCCGAACCTGTTTATGAACAAAAGAAAAATTTTTATAAAAATTTTGCATAAGTTCTTATTATTTTTACTTTCGTCGTTTTAATGAAATCCTCAGGTATGGAATATATTTATATATATATATTTATATATATATATATATATGGTGTATAAAAATACAAATTTTGGGACAGGTTCCTCACCCCACAAAAAAAGAACAAAAGTCCATATAAGAATATGTCTGCTAATCCTTCGTTTTTGATTTATTAAGTTTAAAGAAAGTTTACTGTAAATGGCGCTGTGTTGCCATGTAGACTTTGTTACAATTCCCTGTGTAATGTATCCCCAATCACTACAATCTTAACATTTTCAAGTCTAGAGTCAACCGTGATCTTCTCGTATCCAAAACTACCTCTTAATATAACCCTCTACCTCGAGTGGCCTACGTGCCTTGTAAAGGGTGAACCTTGCTAGAAATAAAATATAAAGTTTGGAGAGAGATACGATCTCATCTTCTTAGAGAGTTGCTATATATAAAATACTATTTATTAGCATATTTGAATCGGCTAGACAAGAACAACTTTCCGCCTAGTTTGTTGTGTTCGCTTTTCTACAAATGCCCATGAGAAAACACCTATCCATCTCTTATCCCCCAGCTATGAATTGAATAGCAGGGTAGATTAAGTGTCTCTAGCCTTGCATGGCAACGGAACACCACACCCAAGAAATCATTGCAATTCTAAAATCACGCAAAAAATGAATCTATGGAGAATCATAATGAAAGGACATTGTATAACAAATAGTTAATATTTGTGTGAGAACCCAGTATTCCACATATGTAAAATGCAATATATATATATATATATATATATATATATATGTGTGTGTGTGTGTGTGTGTGTGTGTGTGTGTGTGTGTGTGTGTGTGTGACTATGACTATATATGCTCCTGGAAATCCGGTTGAGCTCTCTAGGGAAAAAGGTGGTTTTAAAAAAAACAGCGGCTCCTGCTGCTATTAACTATTACTCTTCAAGTAAAACTGAATTGAGTTCTATGAGCCACTTGCGTATTTCGTTTAGAGAAAAACGTTAAAATTTCCTTCCTCTCTTCCTCGCCGTGCAACGATGGTCTACGGGTAAGATATCTGAGTGATGTCAAATAAGTTGGGTTTCGATCACGGCTAGAAGCAATCAGACGTCTAGCCACACTGACGAGCTGTGATACAGCGAAGTAGTCTGTCTGTGGATCACTATATATACATATTTGGGCAGCAATTCCTCTTTTATACAAGTCTCGTTAAAAACGACTGACAAGGTACCGCGGTTAAGTTTTTATTTAATTTTTCTTGTGTTATATATTTTTTTTCTTTTCTGAACATAAATTATATAGAAATTGTCCCAATGTTCTCTATGTCTCATCGCTTTCGACTGTACTTTTAGCTATTATAAAGGATGATTTTATTTTCACTTTTAACTGAATGTATGGAATTTTTATATATGTCTAGAGTTATAGGAATCTTTTATTTTTCAAACACGGTCAGCACATTGTGGCCGTGTTCATAATTGATATTATTGAATGTTGGCTTTTTCTTCTTTTTATTAATAATGCATCCATTATTTTTAGCCATTTTTTACATGTAGATATGGCTATCATAGTTGTATTGTCAGCGAGTATATTGCGGATAGAGTTTGGTAAGTTTATATGTATGTTGAAATGAGTCCAAATTTAGATATTGTCAGAGAGGTGTAACATGAGCCTTCTTTATAGGCATGTCCAATATACCGTAATTTCTCGAAAATAATACGCATTTTTATTGTAAATTAAAGGTGATAGTAGGGGTGCGTATTATAAATAGGTTTAAAATATTTTCGTTATTGATTTATAATAATAAATACGTACTTGTTGTTCTAAAATAAGAAAGATATTATCCCAATTTTTCATTTTAAATCCAACAATAATAATTGTAACATTTTTTGTCAATAAATTTTCAGTAACCGCATTTTAAATTTTTTTTTAAATCTATAAAAATGCCAATTTCGAAGAAAAGAGGACATCAAGTTAACAACTTATTAAAATTTTAATTTTCATTATCATCATCACTTTCTATTATAGACTCAGTATCAAAATTGTCATTAAACAAATTATCATTCACAATATTATCTTCGTCCTGTTCAAAATTATCTACGGCCTCTTTATTCTCTTGCCAAAGGATGTCATATTCAGAGCCATCCATGGCTGTCGTGAGACAACATTTCTTGAAACCTCTCTTTATAACATCCTCACTGACGGAATCCCAAGATTCCTGAATCCATTTTACAATAATTTCCAACCCTTTTTTTTTCTCTGTTGGCACCAGCAGTAAAACTAGGAACACCATAAATCATCCAATCATTCCATTTTTTACGTACCTCTTGTTTAAATGGAATGTTATATATATATATATATATATATATATATATATATATATATATATATATATATATATCATGTCTAACCTTCACGGCTACGACACGCCATACCACTTACACTAATATTCCCTCTTTATTCCATTGGTGAGAAGTAAGTTCCACTCAAACAGCTTCTTCCTGCGAAACAATGCCCTGTGTAATGTATCCTCGATCACTACAATCTTAACCTGTTCACCTCTAGAATCAAACGTTATCTTCCCTTATCCAAAACTACCCCTTAATATAATTTATAAGGAAAACGGTATGGTAATTTTCAACATTATTTTAGCCGCTTAGTTTCGATTCCATTATTAATGTCAAGGTCGACAAAATGTCTGCGCATTATATATGGGTACGTATTATTTTCGAAAAATTACGGTAAGTATTCTTGAATTTGGTTTGTTCCTTAAGGGTCATGTGAATTCTTAAATAATATAAGTTGTCAGTTATTTAGATTTTGCTGGTGTGTTATTGTTGCTGACGATTAGGTTGGTAGTTTTAAATATTTTACAGTAGATGATTAATTTAATTTTCTTGTTTTTCATGTTGTTGTATATTTCTTTATAACGTTTCGAAGGGAAGGATATAATTATAAAATTCAGTCTTTGGTAAAAATGGTATTCCCAAATACGAACGATTACATCAAGGGAGAGCTCAATACAATTTTCATAAAACGAAAATATAGGACGAATTAAGATGTAAAATGTTCGAAAAACTGACTTTATGCAACCACGGTTTCTACCAAGATAGTTTCGTCAGGCAGTAAGTCAAAGAGTTTCGCCTAAAAAAAAACACAAACGTTTTTTTCTCCCTTTCTACTGCCTCTTTACCTCGTTTTCTACGAATAGCACTTTTCCTTTTTCTCCCTCCACTGTCAGTACAGGTAAAAACATATATAAGTTTTTTAAGGCGAAACTTACTGCCTGACGAAAACATTTTTTGTAGAAACAGTGGTTACATAAGCTCAGTGTTTCGAACATTATATATATATATATATATATATATATATATATATATATATATATATTTTATGTTTAACGTTCTTTTTATAGATACAAGTATTTAAGTAAATGCTCTGTTTATAATAAACAGTATTAAATAACATTTACCGGCCTGAATGTTATTTAATACTGTTTATTATAAACAGAGCATTTACTTAAATACTTGTATCTATAAAAAGAACGTTAAACATAAAAATGTCTTTAATAAATAAATTGTCGGACTTTGTCCATTTCTTAATATATATATATATATATATATATATATATATATATTATAAATTAATTGATTTTTAAATATTTTTTCGCTACACAGTTCGAACCATGTTTCAAAAATGTAACATGGTTCGAACTGTGTGGCGACAAAAACCATATTTTAAATCAATTAATTTATAATATTAATGCTCTGTAAATTTACATTGAGCACTTTTTTGTAAAAATAAAAATATCTATAGGAACACCGGATTATATATCTTAGTGTACTTTCTTTATATATATATACTAGCAGTAGAGCCCGGCGTTGCCCGGGGATATAACAGTAAGAGATAGATCAAGTATCCACCATCATAAAGACTGAAAAATAAAATTGACAAAGGTTATTGTTTAAGGTTGACGGACACGCATGTCTTACTTTTTTTTTTATGAATTGGTCAAACCCAAACTCAAAGAAAAACATTGTTTTCAATCGTTATGAGTCTCTACCGATTGAATAGAATGATTTTATAAACAATTGTCTTGTAAATGGGATTTTTAAAGCATTCTGAATGTAAAAATAAAGAAAAAAGTGTGCAAGACAATAAGAAACACTACATGCCAAAAAAAAGTGAATTTTTGTTGAAATCGGTTGATATGATTTTTACTTATTGAATAGAGTAAAAACAATTGCATATTTTGCTTGTGGTGATTCATAATTAGAATTCTGATTTGAATATATTTTCCACTCGTTGTTTCTAATACAAAAAATATTAACTTTATTTGGGTTTATTAATTATGATCTAACAAATCTTATTCATTTAGTAGCCTTTCTGTAGTAATAATCTTTTACAATTTATGATTTTTACTTATTGAATACAGTAAAAAAATTGGACACCATGTGTATTTAAAGTAGTTTCCTGTTCCGGTTATTATTTTTAGTTAGGACTTGTATATGTTTATATTTCATTATCTTTCCCTAAAGATAAAGAATTTATTCCAATGATTGTATTCGTACAAT